AACCTTCATTAAATCAAAAATTTTTTGTAGATAATTCCAGTTATTTTTTGATAATTGATATATTTTAAGCTCTTTATCAGCAAGTATAATATTTTGAATTGTCTAAATTATTAAAATATAATTATATTAATTAATTTAATAATAAAATAAAAATTTATTTAATATAATATTTTTATAAGTAGATAAAAAAATAAAAATTATTACTTGTTTAAGTTTTAATACTCTTTCAATCATTATATATATTGAATTCCAATGAGTATTATTATCAGAAATAAGTTGTAATAGTTCAAGTTCAATATTAATATATTGTTAACTAAAATTTTGACATAGTTGTGGTGATGCTCGTATTTTAATAATAAATTTTTTTAACTAAATATAATAAAAATATTAAAATTAAATTAATATATAAATAATAATAATAAAATAACTTACTCTAAAAATTATATTATTTAATTTATTTGTATCTTTATCTTTTAAAATTTCATTATCATTATTAAAATTATGTTTGATATAAAGTTGATCTATAGCTTTTTTTGCTGCTAAATTAATTATGTGAGCAAGACATCTCATATATTGATTTTTTAAATCAAAATTTATATTTTGATTATTTAATTCATTTTAATATATCTAAGCATTTTATTATTATTAGATGTATTATCACATGTAATTGCTAATAACTAAAAAATAATAAAATTTAATAATTTTTAAAATTTTAAATAATAAAAATATTAATATTATTACCTTAGAGCTAATATTAAAATTATTTAAAACTTCTAAAAATTTTGTAGCCAAATTTTTTTCAGTATGTGAACCAGGTAAATAACAAAAATCTAAAACAATTGATTGTAAATTCCATTTATTGCTGATCCAATGAATAGAAATTCCAAAAAAAGATAATTGATTTTTACTAGTTCAACAATCTATAGTAAATGAAATTAAACTAGGAATGTTCTATAAAATTAAATTATAATTAATAATAATTTACTTGTAATTTTTGACTAATTTGTTGTTTTGTTTCATTGTAATATTTATCTAAATCTCTTCTAATTGTATTAGTTGCTAGAATTTGAAGATTAGGTCATAAATAATTTAACATATCTTGAAATTCAGAATTTTCAAGTGTTGTAAATACTTTATCATCTGATGCAATCCATTTTAATAACTTTTTCTAAATTCATTATCTGTAAACTAAAAATAAAATTGATATTTTAAAATTTTAATTTAGATATATATTATGCAAAAATACTATTCCTGATAGATCAGCAATACCGATTTTGCTAGAGTTAAAAAATTTTATTTAAGTACTGTTCCTGATAAAGTTTTAAAAATAAACTCTAATTCTAACTTTTTTATTATCATAATATAGTATTTTGGAAATCTTTTTTTAAAACTCTATTAAAAATAGTATATAAATTAATTTTTTCTTATCCTATCAAGAACAGTACTAACAATCTATTAGGAATAGTATTTTTGCATATAATATATACAATATTTCAGAATTATAACTTGATATGTTTTCAAATTTTTCTTTATACTTGTTTCTTAAATATTTCAAAAATATTGATGTATGTCTATTTTTATAAGATATACTAAAAATAAAATATATTAATATTTAAATTATTGTATAGTATTTTAAAAATAAATAAATAAATCAGTAAATAAATAAATATATATATTTATAATAATAAGTAAATAATTTACGAGCAATATTTGCATTTCTAACATGAATTAACATATTCAAAATGAGGATCAGCTAGAGATCTAGAATTAAAAACTTCTGGTATGCTTATTTGATTATTTGAGTTTGATTCTTCATTTAGATCATTGACTGACATAAAAGATTCTTCTCTTGATACTATATTTATATAGAATCTAAAAAATAATATTAAAAAAATAATTAAAAATAAAATAAAATATAAAATTAATAATAATATATAATAATTTAAAGTTTTATACATTAAAATTAATATTCAAAAAATAAAAACTAACTTTTTTATTTGTATAAAAAATATATTATTGATTTATTATATATAAATACTAATATAAACTTATATACTTATTTTTATTACATTATTATTAAATTATTATATCAATTTTTTAACACATCACTTTGATTATATTGTCATCTTATATAGTAATACGTATATATTTAACTATTATGATATTTTTTAAATTTTTGAGCCTATATACATATGGATATAACAGACAATATTTTTATTTTTAAAGAGCGTTGATTTAACCACAGTAACATATAGTACTTATGGTTTGATTAATTAAATTGGAGTTCTTGAATAAGATTCTGAGTACTGTACTGTATACAATATACATTTACACATTATAATTCTTCTACTTCATATCATGTTTTAACAGTATTTTATACAATATAATATTTATAAATAATAGCTTGATATCAATTACTTGTTGGATTAACATAATATGTATGACAACCAAAACTGAAATTCATGATTTTTTGTCGAATATATAAATATATAAAGTTCACATACTCTTATCAACAACTCTAGCCCAAGTCCTATTTCTAATCTAAAAAAACACACAAATTTTTAAAGTTCAAAATTTAACTTCAGTTAAAATAACAAGTTTTTACAATAATCACCGGATCCTAATTACTTAGAACTCTGGCACTCTTTCTATTATTAAATTCACCAACTGCAATCACCCAAATAATGATTATAATAAACCCAATAATATACTCAATAAGATAAGACTGAAGTACCAATCTTTTACTTTTCGTCAATAAATCATCAGTTTTAAATAAATAAATTCCTAATGGAATACCTATTATCAGAATATAGGCTAATCCAACAATAGTGCTTTTTGAAAATTTAATAGCTATACCTCTTAAAATAAGAGAATAAATCAGCCCGCTCAATATCCAAAAGATTAATCTACTCTTGGATTAAATTTCTTTGTGTATTTGATGTTGATAAGCAAATAAATGTGATCAGAATATTATAACTGAACCGAAGGTGTACATAATAGCTGATCTTTTTATAATAATTGATTAAATATTCTTTTTTTTTTAAAAAAAAAAAAGAGAGAGATTCTGAACAAAAAGATAGAATACTTACCACATACTCAAGAGTAGTTTGAAAATAATATAGCATATCATTCACAATTTAAGGATTTTCATTGACTAAATCTTATAGCTAATGCTTTGCGAGGATTGCAGTAGAATGCATTCTAGTACCTTAATAATGATATATATATATATTATATATTTTTAAATAAAGAAGAAGTTAAAAGCATTTATTTACCTTGTACATAAAATGCAGTACCAATCATAAACCACAGGTTTAAAAATCCACGTTCAGATAAGTTTCATACTTTATTTGTAATAGGTTAGCTAATTTAAGTTGAATAATAATAAATAATAATGAAGATAATCGAAATATCAAAAGATTTACTATCATTGTCAAATATATGAGAGGATGCCAAAATAAAATAGTTTAGTGGTAATGAAACTATTGGTTCAATAAATCCTGTTA